TATATATACATATATATAAAGAGTATATTTTCCTCACTAGCAAACAAAAGCCATAAAGGAAACAAACCGTGGGATACACTTTTTTTTTTTTTTCCCAAGGAAAACAAGTTAACTGTTGATAGACAAACATTAAGATCAAAATGGATTACTTAAAACAAAGTTTCTTATCAGCCCCTGTAACTTCATTCATTCTGCTTAGCACATAAACTGATGCCTTGTGAAATGAATATACAGGAACTCAGCAAAACTACAGTAAGCCAAATGAATTCAAGCATGATAAATGCCCATGTGGGTGTTCCCATTTAGAAACAGAATAGTCTTGAATCCTTGTGCTTTAACATATAGAATCTAAATTCTATTTTTTCCAAATAGTGACATCCACAGGGTCTGTTTTCATGACTCACATTTTCTTCATCCTTTTATTTATTCCATTTCATCTTTCCCTTAGACTTGGAATCTTTCCCTCTAAAACCTTGACTTAAGGCAGTGTAACAATTAGCAATGAGTGTTCAATGAAAGCTGAAGACTTTCAGGAAGAACTCATTCTGAAGCACAAACATGGTTTTCAACAAACACAAGTACCCACATTCACAGTACGTATTAGCAATATAAATGTAACTTCAAAATCAGGTAAGAAAAGATCAATCTATATAAAAAGTTCATAACTTTTACTTAGATAAGCAACGATATAAATGTATATAAAGCACAAAGACTGTGTTCCTCAACACTTCACACTTTTCATTTATATAACATGTTCAAGATATCAGATTGAAATACAGCAAAAACCTACCTTGAAGATGGCAACACGCTTGTAGGCTTGAAGTTTGTCATAAACGGATTAGTCGACTCATAATCAAAACTCTCCCGATGAGTTTCACCAAATGCACTAGGTGATTTCAAGTCAGTACAACTGTCTGATCCCCCATTGCTAAGTTTATCTGACCTCCTGCTATCTTTTTTTCCAGTCACTCTCTCAAAAAGACTAACTTTCTCTTTTTTCTCTTTTTTAATTTCTTTCCTGATTTCGACAGGTTTGGAAAACAGACTTATGTTTTGATCCCACGTTGCCGGGCTTTCTTCAAATGGATTCTTCTGTCTTGGCAGTGTGGCAAATTTTTGGGGTAACGAAGCACTCACATTGGTAAATGGGTCATTTTGTGCTTCAAGTGCAGTTTCATCAACCGTGCTGTCAAGCTGGTTCACTTTAGAAGTATCAACACTTAATGTCCTTCTATGTGGAGATTTCAGACTCCCTGCAAACAATCTGTCATTAGTACATTATCAATGAGACACTATATCAGCTTATGACATGCAGAGAACCCAAATTTAGCTTAGGTCTAGAAGCTTTGCAACTGATTATCAGTTCAAAACACCGCTGAGTAACTGAGTAACTAAGTTATTTAAAAAATAAATTAACAGCTGTGGCCTTAACTTTGTGGTTCAGAAATGTTTATGGTTAGACACTAGAGCAAATTTTTGTTGTGTGAAAACTTAAGTTCTACAAAGAAGACAGCTATGAATAGTGTGTCATTCCAGAAAGCAACAGTAGTCTATTGCTGCATAATAACTTTGAAGGATGCTAAGTATTTTCAGTTCTTTGTACAAATCAAGTTTAAAACTTTGGTGATAGTTTTCAACTTTTTAAACAGATTTTTATTTTCACAAGGCACTATTTTGCCTAGAGTTCCCTCTAGAATGCAATGCTTCCCTATGACACACTCGCAAATGAGGACATAAGAAAAATGCTAAATTACCACAAATTATGACCAATATAAGTTACTTCTTATGCTTGGAAACAGCAGTTATGAGTTACCACCAAATAATGGAAGTGAAAAAAAAAAGGACAGCAATAATTGTTAACTTTTTGGCCTTGTAATTGCCTCATAAACTAAAGAAACAAACTTTTGATTGCCCTAATAGCAATGAACTGTAATTATAGTAGCCATGAGTTTTACTTACCACCTTCATCAACTGAACTAAACGATTCTAGCTGACGCCTGAAAAGATGAGAGTAGCCAACTGTGCTGGATTTCAATTTTTCTGAGGAGACATGTCCCGTTAAATCTGACATCGAATGAGCCGAGGATAGCCGCTGAGGTCCCAAAAGGAAAGGTTTTTTTGGTTTTGCTTTCATTTGAACTTCACCACTACATACCTCTACATTTGCATCGGGTATGTGAGTACTTGGGATGATTGCAGAGGATGTATCCGAAAATGTGCCATCGTTTTTTCGACCCTTCATTTTATCTTTTAGTTTAGCAAAAGGGGATTTGGTTTTGTCCTTCATTGACAAATCAAACATACTTGCTGTCATGTTATTCCTCATAAACTGAATATTGACCTTTATTTCTCCCCTGTCTTTAGTTCTCTTCCCTTGTCTGGACTCTAGTTGAAACCACCTTAAAGGAGAAAAAGAGCAAGTTAAGTTGTGTTTTCTGGAGGCTAGTCATCAAACTCTGGTTAGCTGGTTAATGTATCTGGCTAGTACAATTTAAAATATGAAAAGCAGATTCCATATCAAAAATTAAAACATTCCTTTACTGAAAAACTTTTCAACTTTTTTTTTTTTTTTTTAAGAGAAAACTTAATAACTAAGCAAGCACAAAGCTTTCTGTAGTGTTCACCTGTTTTGAGGACCAAAATCAACTCTGTGGAAGCTTTCCAAATTTCATCAAAGCTAATGGGTTGACATGCTTATGAAGGAGTATTTGTATCTAATGCCAATTATAAATACATTCTAATTTGCTATTTAAAAGAACACTTGATATTTTTCAAGTGGCCTTTATTTAGCAGTGATATATATTACCTGAATGTAAATTATACGACAAACATTTCATCTTTTCACCTTTTCTCCTTTGATTTTGCTCAGGATTATATGCCAGCAAACATTTTTCCCCTCTGTCCCTTCCTTCTAACCACTGGTTAAAATTTATGTCAACTGCATTAGCACTAGCAAAGAAATACCTGAGATCCCTGAAATAGTCAACTATAATTTCAGTTCTGCAACTGCAACCCCTGCTAACGTTGATGGTAACTCCACGAGCACTGGTGGCAAAACAGCGAGCACGTAGGTGTATCTAACAGCCCTTCTTTTGCAGGTCACCAGTAGGATTAACTTCAGAAATATTTCCACAGGCTTTGAAACCATGGCATAAACCCCCACTCCTTGAAAAGGGATCAAAGGTATGACCATCTCTTTCAAAACACTGAGTGTGCTGCTTTGCCAGGTCCAATAAAGGCACTATAATTATCCAAGTGTCTTATTCATCCCCTATCATGCTCCATTGTCCCATAGAAGCATCTGCAGAATTATGGCTCAATCTTCCTTACACAGCTTCACCGAAATGCATGACTGACAGACAATCCCGTCTCCACATCTATCAACAGTCTCTTCCTATTCAAAAAGGGCACGAGGGCATCCTTCAGATCCGCCAGCTCCAAAGAAGTGCTCTAAACCCATTGTCAGGAAAAATTCATGCACGCACACTAACACAACAGCACATTATCACAGTGAAGTAACTTTTGAACTGAAGACTAAGAAGTGAAATTGCCTATCAGCACAGATGTATATATATTACTCAACACTGCCAAATACAGAAAATAAGGTCAGAAAAGGAGAAAAATAACCCTCAATTTCCTTTCTGATTTCATAAATATTTTTAAAGATGAGAGCCGAAATCAAATTTTCAGGCAGAGATACTATTTTTCTGAGTTTAGAAAATACTTCTAAAAGTGACTTGTCAATGAAATAATGAAAGGGTAAAGAGTATTATGACTTTTTTCTGTCGCTTTGTGATGCCATACTAAACCAGAACAATTAAGAAATATCAGCCCTTCTCTGTTCTGGCACTGGATGGCATGAATCCAGACTAGTAGATTCAGAAGTTCAAACTCGCAGAAGGACAATTAAACCCTTAGGAAGAAAGTTTTTCTTCTGTTGTGAGGCAACTTCATTTATGTATTATAAATGAAATGCAAAACCTGAAATATGTCATGTGTCTAAAGAAGATTAATCATTTTTTCCTTTTAGTTAATAACATTTCACTTCTTAGTAACTGATTCCAGAAACTCTTTAATTCATCTACAGAGTGGTTACAGAAAATGCACGCAACAGAACCAAGAGTAAATCTTTTTTGTGCTACACAATATTGCAAAGAGTGGAAGACAAGATAGCCTACTTTCTTAAAAACTCTTCTCTAAAAGGAAATAAATTCATATATAGTCTTAAAAAAATTGAAAACAACACATAGCCATAACGAGCAAGTCCTTGCTTATAAATCTCCATCAGACATATCTTGCCTGTGCAGAAAAAAAAAAAACAAACAAAAAAACACCCTGAAACTGAGAAAATCCTTACTCTGACTCCTTGGACACACACTAAACATAAATATAAATAACACTTATGAGTGTTTTAAGAGGCTTACTAGGCACAGAGGACCTAACTTCTCAATATTTAAATTTAATGGCTGAGCCTACACCGTAAGAAAACATACTCCCCTTCTTTTCCCTCCTCTCACGGGTCTTAAACTTTAATACTGATAATATTAATATTAATCTCTGATAAGATTGCTGAATCTTCCTATGTTTCCACTTATGATCAGCAAAACTAAACTGATGTATGAGATTGGCTAACTTGTTTTAGAACAATATCAAGACATAAATTCTTGAGTTTTTGCTGTGTGGAAGAAAGCCTCCTCTTTTAAAACTTAATTTAACTCATTTATTGACATGCTTATCATGAATCAACAACCACTCTGTGTCACTACCAGTACTCACCTGCCAACGGCGTATCTCTGCCTACTATTTTGACATTCACCAGGTCTGAAGGAGAGAATTCCAGCACACAACTAAGACATTGCCTTTGCAGCTGGGACATTTGTTTTCAAAGTAGACTTTGAAGAACTTGACACTACAAATAAGCTCAGATGGGAAAACAAAGCAACTCTCCTTACCCTAGGAAGACAACACAACCACATAAGGGACTGGACCTCATACCTGCTGGGGATTCCAACAGAATTTAATCATAAACTCTGTACTCCAGCAAAACTTCTCTGGACTTCAGTGGAATTTCCATTTGAATAATGATTGCTGGATCAAATCTCTGTCTAAAACACAGATATTTAATTTTCATAGGCATTTCAAGGAGGGTTCTTCATTACCTTGGAAAGTTTATCTCGTTTTTGTTATAATGAAGGTTCCATATGCTTCAGCTCATAACAAGACAATATGAGAAGCAGGCTCAAATCATTATTTCCTTCAAATTCAAAGGCAAATAATTACATTTTTAAACAGATGAGAACAAATGCAGCCAATGCAATGTGGAGCTACACGTGAATGAGCAACCCAGTCTGTAAATGTTTCTTATTACAATCTGTTTCTACAACACATGGGCGTGAGCAACAAATAGAAAAACCAGCGCTGTATATAATAGAAAAAAGAATTGGAAAATGAAGTCCACTGTTCTCAGATAACAACATTTGGGTCCTAAAATACTAAATTCCACTATACCACTGCCAATTTAAAAAATTGTAATGCATTATAAAAGCCAATAAAACTTGCTATTTTGGTTTTGTTTACAGTACTTTTAGCCACAATAAATGCTCCATTTGTCAGGCTGCCATGAGCTTATTCTATAGAAAGCCTGTACAAAGTAGGAAAATAGCCAATAACATACACGAACAAAACAGGGTGGCTTTTATGAGAGCAGATGCCCTTTTATTTAATAACTAAATATTACATCCAGTCTTGCAGACAGTCTTTATTTAAACAGACCTTGTACAAAGTCTGGCAAATTTTTCCAACTTCAAAGGAAGCCCTCTTGCCTCCTGAATCACATTCATACTTCTTGCTCTCACCTTCAAATGTTCTGTAGGACAATGTCCTCCATACACCCTCTAATTTCCACTTCCCCCCTATGGTTTCCATCAGAAAAACCCCTGCTTCTTTTCCTCATCTGTTTCTGAGTGCACTAATGGGCTTTGCCTGTCTTGCACAGGTTTCTGATCACTTTTATTTTGTAAGTATTATATAAATTGTCACTCTGTACGCTGACAATTTTTTTGAAGACTTAAAGAGCAGATCAACACTCAAGTCTGAAAAATCCTGCTGCCCAGTCAGCCCTGAAGAACTAAATAAACACGGCTACTTTCTAACCATGACAAAATTACTCAATTTTGGCCATACCTACAATGAGGGGTGGAAAAAGCAAACTCCCTTATTTTTATGAAAGACAGTAACCACCTTCTGCATACTATTGAAGTAAATTGCACAGTATTAGCAGTACTGAACCTTTTTGGAAAGAGGAAGAGTGAGGGAGAAAACTAAAATAAGGTACTATTAACAAGTGAGTTACAAAATTCTGCCCTGCCTATTCCAGCTAAATAGCTAGGGATCTACAAACATATCTTCAACACAATTTCTTCATCTGTTCTTTTCCCCTCCTTCCTCTGATTTCATTCTCTTCCCATGAACTTCGTTTTCAAACCCACTTTTGCTTACTCACACTATTCTCATCACATCCTTCATCCTGTGTTCAACAAATATTTTGAGATCAGTATCTTGTTTCTCTTCTCCTCATAGCAGGAAGCTGATGTTGTGGTGCCTTATCCTCGAAATCTGCCACTGAATTTGACAGTTCCGAGTCTTACCATCTCTTTTCTTTGAAGAAGCATCACTCAACCTACTCTTCTCACCCTGTAACAGTGAGCAGAATAGGCTGACAGTATGGGTAAGAAAAACCACTATGTAATTTTAATTACATTCTAATTGTACACTTAAAATTTCACAGCCTCCAAAACCACTGGGATACTTGTCTAGGAATTAGAAGTCTTCTAGACAGCACATTCAACCTGTGCATGACAGATGACCTTCCGACTCCATCTTTTTGCCAATGCTGAAGATAGAAAGTACTAAAGGTATTTTCCCACTCATTTTGCTGCTTCTCAAATACACCACTCTGCCTTCAGTAAATATCTATTGAGCTGATCTAATCTTGTTCTGCTGAAATCATTAGATTGCACCCAAAGATTTTTGCAAAATCTTGGTTTCAATTCACAAATTACTGAAGGAATTCTGCAAAACGCAACACAATCACAGCATTCACAAGGCTTCTAACCTTGATTTTACAGGTAAAACCAGCAGCCTGATCTGCTGAGCAGCTCTAACCTGCTACACAGTGACAAGGAGAATTTTCTATACCAGCAGGTACTTCTAAAACTACCCCTCCCTAAAAAAAAGACCATCAAAATAACAATGATAGAACATGCCCATCAGCTGTCATGGGATAGAAGGACTTTTTCATCTTAGATTACTGTGTTCAAGTTAGATACACTGAAGAAACATGTTTCACTAAATTCCAACAACATACGTGTCCACAGCTAATGGAGAAAAAACAACACTC